GGAAAGAAAAGTATGAGTGATAAGTGTCACCTACATCTGAAAAATATTCTAGGTGTACACGTTGCTCTGAAGTGGCCAGCTGAAGGCAGTTCTTGTCCCAAAACTAATGTGGTGATATTACAGTACAGAAGTCTCTTTTCAGGTCCTATCTTTCACTCAAGTTCTGTTACCATGTGAAATACAACTCTAGAAAGTGCAAATGGCTCAAGATAAGCTATTTCAAAGGTCTCTGGGCAAACTGATCAGTTTTAGAGACTTTTCAGTGTTCTCCTACACAATAATAAATATGGCCTAGGAGACACGGCTAATATGTGGTCACTTTGACAGTTCTAGTTCTCTGGAGCTGAAGTATGACTGTACCAAAGCCAGGCTAAAGCAATCCAACAACAACAACAACAAAAAAAAATCTGTGTCCTTGAAGGCAGCCATCAGTCAGAGCTTGCATAAGACTCTTCTGATATTATACCAAGATATCTGAAGGGATAAGTTGAGAGAACATGCTTCATACTGTAAGTGTAAAAGGGAGAGGAGTCTAAGTCAGAAACTTTGTTCTGAGGCAGTTTTCGAAAATGTTTTGCTTCCTTTTCACTGTTTATAATACAATCATCGCTTCTTACTCAATTTGCCGTTGGGATCCAGATAAGCTGTTGACTTAGCACTTCCATTACGATGTTGTCTAAACATGCTATTGAGTTGATTATTATTTTTTTTCCTGTCTTTAATTTTTGTTGGGTTATACTGCATGCCTGAGCATCCTCAGATGTTAATACAGGAACAGGGTGAGCAGATGCCAGAGTTATCAGCTTGTGTCTCCAGGCTGAAACTGCTAACATATGCTGCTGTGAAGGTTGAAGTAGGAGATCCCTTTCCTCTTGTCTTCTTCTTTTGTCTGTGGGCCCTTCGACCCTTGGTTTATGAAAGTTCAGACGATTTTAATGTTAAGATTTGGGATTTCGTTCCCAGTGTTTCCTAGGATCCAATAATAGGAAAAAAAGTCTGGCACCTGCAGCACTTGCAGGAAGTAGGTATGCAGGAAAATGGGTCTAGCTGCCTGGCAGCAGCAGCTGTGTTTTGCTGAAGTACGTTCATAAAGTTAATGACAAAATTCGGGAATGAGCCTGGCGAGTCAGCTCCCAGATCCCTTGTTCTAAATTAACCTCTGCAAAGAGAAGCAACTGTCTGCTCTGGTACTGTGCGCTGATCTGGAAGTGAGTTGAAGGGGATGTTAAGGACACACTTCTGAGTTTCTGAATGACTTCAGTTGCTAAGTGTGTGTGCTCTGTTACATGGAGGGAGGGGATGCTGCTCTGTGTGTTCTAGCCAGCTGTTGACTTGGCCCTCTCTGGTTTCTCCAAGGTGTCCCTGTGGCCCAGTGTCATGCGTGAACTGCAGAATGGTGTGAGGCTGCGCAAGGCCACTGAGCGACCGCAGCGTCATGCACCTCCAAAAGAATATATCCGCTCTCCCTATGAATTACTTTTAGATGATATTCAGCACAAGAGGTACACCCTTCGGAAGGTGAGTGAGTAGAGTCAACGGACAACTTTGAAACCACCTGCTTTACCTCATTTCTAAGCAGTATTGTTGAGACCTCTTCTCCAAAGGTACTGGCCTATCTTTCTCAAAGGTACTTCCAAGTCCAGAAGTGTCTGAGTCTCCCTCTCCACTGCAGCGTATCATTAGATCACCCTCTTTGTCCACCCGAGTGCTTAATTTCCAGTAACTTTTTAAGTCAGGGTAGCCATGCTTTCATGAAGCTGGGCGGTAAACTTTTTCTCCCTCCAGGGGTCAGCCTGCTCCCTTCCCTGGAGCAATTAAGCTGCCTTACACACAGTTTCATGGACGAGACCCTTGCCTGCTTATGCTTTCCACATTGACCACTTGTGTCCTCCCCACGCTTCTTGAGCTGACCTGTGCCTGGCATCTCTTATGAGTTTCCTTGCCTTCCTGGATGTTGTGGGATGTGTGCAAGTGCAAAAGCACTTTTGAGGGAGTCCTTTGCTCAGCCTCGGGCAAAGGCCTCTAGGCAGTGTACATGAGCTACTGCAGGAGTTTAGTCAGGGTGAAAAAAGCTGAGCCCCTTTCAGGGGCAGCTGCTGTGCTGACTCAAGTGGTAGGGGCTTCCAACAACGTGGATGGTTGGTGAAGATGACCAGATACAAACATGTCTGGGGTGCCTCTAAAGGCTTGCGATGCTGTTCGCTTGCTGCAGCTTGATCTGGGAATGATGAGTAGATCTAAAACATTGGCATAAGGCTTTGTGGCGTTGGCATGCTTTGCAAACAGACGTCTTGGCAGAAGATGAAACACAACTCTACTTGAAATAAAGAGTGATATTTTAAAAAGTAAAAAACTTTGCATACCACAGTAGACCAGCTTTTTTTTTTTTTTCCTCCTTGTTGGTGGTGCTGGAGTACAGGCGGTTTAAAAGTCTCAGCTAAACCATGCACCTCAAATCCTGGCTCTTGTCTGCCTTTAGTGTGGCTTGAGCCTTCAGGGAAGGCTATGATATTTCTCTGGAGATGATGTCATGATTGATATATAAATGAATAGTAGTGGAAAGGAGACAATACATCATAACTACTTGTGTCCATGCAATGTACTACCAATGAACTGTGCAGTACAGAACTGTAACTCAAGGTGGCAGGATGAACTGGGTCCTGACTTTCTTTTTTTCTTTTTTTTTTTTAATTTTTTTTTTCGGTGATTGATGGGAAGCACAAACATGTTTGAAGAGTAGTAGTCAGAAATGCTAGAAGAAAGCACAGAGTGCTACTGCTCAGGCCTTTGTGAAGGCGCTTAAACCAGGATTTCCCCATCTGCAAAGCTATTTTAAAGCTTCTCTAGCAAACAGTGGTCTAATTTGCAAATGAATGAAAGCGCAGCTAGTGTGGGAAGCTGTAGTGTTGTTCTACCTGCACTCCCACGTGTTCTGAAGTTGTAAACACAGGGAAACTAAATGGCATAGCCTCAAAGTAAGAATAAGTTAACAAGGCAGTTAGATACACACGTGCTTTTTTTTTTTTTTGTCAGTTCTCCCCTATGCAGCAAGCTTGATGAGGGAGACAGTCTGTCTCACATGAATACCTGCCCTGCAATTCTATCTTGCTATTGTTCCTAGTTTAGGTAGTCTCTGGGATTCTAGCTTATGTATACTGCTGTCTGCTGCTACAGTTCTTGTTACAGTCTTGTTTAACCCATTCAATTACTCTCCTCCCCGGAGCTGAGTTCTCACTGATGAATGTGATGTGACCATGGTGCTTGTCAGGATCACTTCTGACATTAAAATCAGAGTACAACATTTTCCAGTGGCTTCTCAGACCAGTTCATGAGCTGCTGGGTCTAGAAGGCTCTATGCTTCTTGTGCAAGCCTCAAAGGCCTGTGCAGCACTTCTGATTGCCTCTAGTTTGCCACAGGCAAACCCACCGAAAACCCACCTAAGTAAATCTCATCATTCTACACTTCCCAACTCAGTTTTGTTATGCCTTCCCCACTTCCCTTATTCCCAAATCCTGACTTGAGTTTTTCACTGTGCCACTGAATGGGAGAGTGTACCAGGAGTAGAGAACAAACTACTGCTTAAGCGTCATTTTTGCTCTTTCAGGTGATCGTTGAGCCGGGACTCAGGACCCCCAAAGCTGATGTAGCTGTTCCCAAGCCTCATCTAAAGCCTGTAGGTGACCTGGTGATGAGGGAGGGACTTGCATCCAATGATAGCAAAACTAAACGATTCTGGAGTTGACAGGACAGTTTCTAGGAATATAGAGCTAATGTCTTAGCTACTGGTTTGGGTTTGGGAGGGGAATATATTAGCCATACTTAACTTTTGGGCAGACCCTCCTGCCAAAATATGAGGTTAGGAAAATGGGAGGTAACATCTTCACAGGAGAAAGACGCTCAATCTCCCTACTCCCTCCACTGCTTCTTCCATTTGGAACATTTTGTGGTCCTGAAAGTACACTTGGAGTTCTCTATTTCAGATTTGAGAGCTGCTAAAGTATTCTATTATGCATTATCTCAAGGTTCTCTCATGTGCAGGGCCCAGTGTCCTTTGGAGTGAGAGACACTTGTAAAGCAGTGCCATTGCTGAAGGCTTAGTTCTGTCACCACTGGTCTCTGTGCTCCACTGGCTCTTTCTGGTGCTATGCTTTGCTTTTGCAGGTGCTGGAGAGGAAGCTGAAGGAGTGTGTGCCATGGGAGTCTAGCTGGCATGAACAGCTCATGGCAGAAATAAAACAACCACAGAAGCTTCGGTCAGCAGCAGCAAGGGAGAATGGGAGCAGGCCCAAAGGTACCTTCTACAAAGTGACCGATCAAGGATACAAGTGAAGTCAGCATTGACTGAAAACAATGGATGGCCTTTGAAATGAAAGCCCACTTATCTTTTTCCATAGCATGTATAATGCAAAGGAGGTGGAAGTGCAGATTTTTGTGTGATAGAGGTGGTATGGCATAAGAATAGTTCTTCCTAGAAAATCTGCGCCTTTGTGGCCTGTGAAGACTCAAAAGATGTTTCAACTTACCCTTTTTTTTTTAATGGATGTTCAAATTTGTCTGTCCAATAAGTGAGAGAACAGGATTTTGACCATCACCTCAGACTAAAGGATAATGTAATTACTAGGATGATGTCTAGCCAAATCTTAAATTCTGATGGGTGGGTATCAAATTTGTCATTGTCTTGTCACAGCACAATATCTTTTTGTCTGCATGTACGCGGTTTTTTGTTCCCCCTCTCCCCTGTTTTTAATGCTTGTGACACCAAATACTGCCTTGAAATCTCCAAGTGATAGTTTCTTAACCCTTCGAGATGCCAGTACTGACTTTAAAATTATCAACACTACAACACAGCAGCTGGGACCAGGAGTTCAGGTAAGGTTTTAGATGAAAGGACTCTGGAGGGGCACAAGTACTTCAGGCATTAGATCTGCACACACATGTAGCCTGGAATGTCAGGTTCAAATCCTAGTGTGGGCAATCTCATCTCTCCAAAGAGAACGAATAGGATACTGTTAGGTTCTCTGAAGTCCTTTCCTCTAAAGAAGCTCATACCATATTTAAACACTACTTTTGGTGGCGTGACTGCAGCCTATAGAACCAAGGTCTGGACTGGTCTCTTAAGAGTTTTAGTACGCATAGGAAGGAGTTTGGCCAATATGGGCCAGCACAGTTGCCACTCTTACCTCACAGTGAGGCTTTTGGTGCTAGATGTATTCATGTGTTTGCATTTCACGTGGTATGTGAACTTGTGGAAGGAAAACTTAACGATTTATTTTCAGGAAGCCACTTCACTGGTGAATTCCCACTCTTCTGCCTGTGGAGTAATTTGGGGAGCACTGTTCTTCAGTAAACCATGATACATAGTCTGTAACTCCTGGCTTGATCATGGAAAGCTTGACTGCTTGGTTGTCTAAGCATATTCAGAAATTCTGTGGAACAGAACTTAAGCCCTAACACATCATGTCTAGCGCGGATGCACTGGCATACAAACAGGAATCTGTTTTCTGTAAACATGTCTGTCTGAAATGCAGTTGCATTGCATGCAAGAAAACGGATATGAACTAATAAAAGCACAAAATCGTAGCTATATTTGCACAGATCTGTGCTGCTTGTGGGAATGTTCAGTGTTTGAGAACCCTGTGGTTGATGTATTACTGCTAAACTAGAAGTACCTCCATATAGAGACTAATATAATCAAATTTGTTTTCTGTTTTTCTAGAGAAGCTAGAAACAATGCTGTTGAGGTAGAGCATTGGGTTTGAGCTGGGTGAGTGGGGCACAGTCTCTTGAACTGTTCTTCAGTGTTGCTACATGTGAGCTGGAACCAAGAAAATTATTCCAATGTACTCTGAAAGTTGTATAGGGAGGATTTTGTGAAGTTGGTTCCTGAACAGATGAAACTTTGGGACTAGTAACTGCATTGAACTTGGGTGAGAGAGAGAACAGATTAATTTGAAATTTCACTAGCTCGGCTGGATCTTCCTGGTTGTGGGGGGAATTAACTTGCTTATTACCTATTGGAATATAAAGTTGCTAAATGTACCACATTGATTTCTCTCTCTGCTCCACTTTTGGCTGAGCCTTTCTGGTCAGTCTTGGGTATCCTGGTATTTGTTTAGCAGCAGCACATTTGAGGAAGTGGGCTTGGTGTTTCTTGTATGCAGCTTAAGAACATCCTGTCCTCGGGTCTACAGGGAACCACTTCCAAGCTGCCTTCCAGCACCTGGTTTCCCTCAACCAGGTCATCAGAAGTATCCTACAACAGCACAGGTCAGTGTACTTCTAGCTGCACATCTAAACCAGGTGACAAAGTACAGTCAGTGGCCTGCTGGGTTCCCAAAGCCTTATGTTGGGCTTGCACTTTCTCTCTGATCACTTGAAGACACTTTACAGGAGAAGCTCCCACACTAAGTAATGAGTCTGGGAGGTGCCCATAGAAAACCATTCCTCTGCAGTTGACTGAAGCTTGTGTAGCTCTTGCAGCTTCAAAACAATGATAGCATGTCCCCAAAGGCCTGGCTGGAATTCACAGTAAAAGCTAAATGAGTGTTTTGAATGTTCAAGTAGAAAGTGCACCACTTGATTTTATTAAACTAAATAGTGCTAATGAAGCCTCATCACTGCCTACTGACAAGCATAATTACTGTAACCTCTCCTTCTTGTGATCTGAGCTGGCGAGGGTTGAGGAGGAGAGATGTAAGCCTTGCTCCTTCGGAAGGCAGTGTAGTGCCCTTGGGTGTTCAGCTTTTGGGGTGAATACTTAGAAGCTGCCAGTTGGTTTTCTGCATCCTAAAACTCTCTCTTCCTATCCAGGTCTCGCTGCAAATTGCGTATGTCCTCCCATGAGTGCACCCACACTAGGAGACGTTAAACCTAATGGTTTCCTGAATGCTCACCAACAGCAGCTGCCTCCTTACAGAGGAAGGTCCAAATCTTTAGAGAGAGGCCTTCAAAGCAAGGAACTTGTAAGTCTGGCATGTCAGCTAGTGAGCCTGGTCTGATACATCTGGTAATGCCCGGAGCTTGCGCCTTGATCCTTGTGCAAGCGTAAGCACTTTCTGTGGTTTTTATCTTTGGCCATATTGTACACTGATCTTAAATTGTGATATTATTTGCTCCTTGGAGACAGTTTAAGAGAAGACTGGGTGCTGTAATGTCCTTGTGGAGGCTTCCCAGTTTGAATGATATGAAATAAAGATGTTTCTCATATAAGAAGAGAAAAATACCACTACGTTACTTGAAAGTGTCCATCAAGGCTTCTTCAAGCAGACTGTAGTTGGCAGTGGGACTGTCCTTTCTGCATCTCCCCTCATTCTTTCTAGATTTTGATATGCTCACAAACATCCTTTAAGCTGAAGTAAATGGAATAAGTGGTTGACAAAATGTAGATAGCACAGTATCTGTGACTGTTAAATCTATGTGGTACTGAAGTCATCAGGCTCTGAATGACTGCTGTGGGAGCAATGCTGGGTTTTATGCCCTTCTGTGCAACCTTCTGAATCGTGGCCTCACCCTGTTCTGCCCTGACAAGGTGTAGTGTGCCCTTGCCTCCTCCTTTCTTTCTGCATCCCTCCCTGCCCCACCACTGGCAAGTCTCTAAACTGACCTTAACTCTGTGTCACCCCTTTGTTCAGCAGTGTGGTGGGGCTTCCAGGTGGGTTGGGCTCCCCACCTGGGGATAAAAGCACTGTTACCTCTCCTGGTTGACCACCAGACCATAGCTGCCATTTATGTGGGGTAAGCGGGTCTTGGGAAAGAAAAGGCAAGAGATTATTGTGCTGTGGAAAGGGATCCTGTACCTAGGAGCAGCCAGGGTGGCATTTGTCCTGTGGTCTGTACCAAAGGGTAGAATTCCCCAGAGACTGTCTCTGGAGATGGTATTAACTACTGTGGTGACCGAGGGACCTGCTTCCCTAATGAGGCGTCAGGAAGCTGCTTGAAAACTGTAGCAACCACTAAAACGCCTGTAATAGTTTCTCTGCTAGTATTGTCAAAGAGTCAAGTGATAATCCCTATCATTGGCTAAACTGAGTTTTGGGGACAAATGCTCCTTTTGGGACTCAGTTTTGAGGATGACCTCCCCAAATATCTGCTTCTTTCAGCTTTCTCTGATGCTTAACTGCTGTCTTTTGATAGGACTGTCCCTTTCCTCCCAAGTGGCCATCACCAACCATTGCTGAGCTGATTGGAACCAGATATGCAATGATGGTGCTGGAAGGGCAAGGTTTCTTCCAAGGAGGTAGTGATGGTGTCTTTCCAAGAGCTAAGGTATGTTTCCTCTCCTTCTCTTTGTGTTGTCCTTGCCTTTTCAAAAGCTGGGTGGCTTCATGGCCCTCATTGCTGAACTGCTGATGTGCTCTCTGCCTCAGCTTAGCCTGTTCATACAGCTGATCTGAGTTTGGCCCTAGGCTGTAAAATCTCTTAGAACTTGTGTGGTAATGGCTTCTAATCGAGCTTAAGCTGTGTAAGTTGCCTAGAAATTAACCCAGCCTTTGCTTGATCCTCCTTGTCTGTTATTTCCATGCTAGGAGAGCTGACTGCTATGACTGTTGGCCAGCTCTGAAATCACGGAGTAATTAATTTGGATTTGGTACTGCTAAACAGTGAAGCGAAGGCTCTTAACTCAGGCTCCCACACCTGAGTTGTGCTGACTCAAACCACCTTGCTGAGTGGATGCAAAGGTCGGGGAGATGGGTGAGACGGGGAATGACCTGCAGCACGGGACTGTTGGCTGTTCACTCTGCTTCACTGCTGGCTTACTCACAGGGTCTCCTTTAGAGTGGGTGTTGCAACCAGCCCCCTGTAGAGCAGATGTCGTGAGTACAAGTGCTTTGCAACACAGATGTGAGGAAGTCCGTGCTACTTGGCTTAGGGGTCAGCTTCTTGCCCTCACTTGTTTAGCAGTACAGACAAAGCCAAGTGGTTCTTCCAGCAGAGCTATGCTACTTCCACATTCTGTCTGATGCTCCTGAGACTGAATCCCTGTTTTCATCTCGCCTTACTTATCAACCCTGCTTTAACTTGCCTGCTCTGTGCCTGTTCTAAAATGGCTCTCCTACCCCCTTTGTGTTCTTGCTGCTGAAGTGTTTTTAGCTTTCTCAAGCTCTACTTCTCAAGATAATATCACTTCTGACTGCCAGCTGTGTATGAATGTGTTCTTTTTTATAAAGTTCAAGCGACTCATCAGCTTCCTTATGACTCATATTTTGCTTCAGGATTAGATTCAGATTTGCCTTGACTTAATCTCTTTGGGATTGCTGCAGTCTACCTCAAAGAATGTCTCTCTTCTTCCCTCTCTCTTAACTAGCTACTGTTACACTCTTGCACAATGCAGCTATTGTTTGCTCAAGAGCCTGTTTTTAAACTCCTGTTGTCTGGCAGCTGCCCCAAACCTCTGCATCATAAAAACACTGGCCTACAAGTAAGACTTTATTTTTGCCTTTTTGGCTTTTAATTCCTGTGTCTTTGCTATCTTTTATTGGACCTCTTATTGTGTGTGGATCTAAAGCCTTTAGAAGGTTGGTTTATGTGCTTGCTCTTTGGCAGGCAGTGGATACTGTTGGTACAAAGATATTTCCCATTTGCATTCACAAGTAACTTTCCTTTCCACAGATCTGTTTCAGCTGCCATAAGCAGATGTTTCTTAAGTGGCCTTACAGCTGTTACCTCTGCAGCAGGTGAGCTGGTACAAAAGGGCTGAATGAGGAGGGAGAAAAGAGTGAAAGAACAGTGCTGAAAATACTCAGTATTCGAACAGTTGTGGTACTGGATAGGAACAGGTTGCTGAGCCCTTCAGTTTTGCATTACTGCACAAGCTGGGCTGAAGTGTCTACAGCTGCAGAGGATGTGGAAAAACTTGCCTCTGAAGTGGTATCTCAATTTTAACTCTTAGTATTAAGCTAGAAATAACCAAATTTACTGTGCAAGTATTAGATTCAATTTCTCTCTGAGATCACTCTCTGCATTTTGCTCTAAAGGCTAGATTTTACTTCAGTCAAAGGCTTGAGTGGGTTCTGGGAGAGGGTCTTCACCAGAATCTTCTGTTGAGGACTTCGGACCCTGTGACTGGGAAAAGAGTTGGACCTACTGGTATCCACTTAGTTGTCAGAGGTTTTCTGTTCATGAGAGAGGAAAAGAGGAACTTCAGGCTCATTAAGGCTCACTTAAATCTTTTTGAAGCAGTGGTAAAGCACGGAATCGATTATAAGCAACAAGTAAACAACCACTGGGAACTGAGTAACTGTCTGGTGGTAGTGCTGCCTGAAAAGTAATAGGTATTTTCAGACAAAGCCTTCAAGCTGTGGATGCTGACCCATTTCAGGTGATTTAAACTAGGGTAAATAGGAGGGCTGGCAAATCCAAACGGGGGAGTTCTAAGCTTGCTCACCCTTAGCTGCAATACTGGTATCTGCTGAGCTTTACTCAACTGATAACGCTGGGAACTTTTTTCTCTTAGTGTTGTCTGCTGTGACTGCTGCATCAAGGCAAGTCTAGCCTTTACAACAGCATATGGGTTTTCTACATTTTCTGTTTTCCCTGTACCTCACCTAGTCATAGGAAGCTTTCCTTCATCCCACTGATACCTCTAGCTTGTTTCTAAGAAAATAGAAGAGGTAATATTGTAAGGTGCAAAAGCAGCCAGGGTGCCACAGACCTCTCCTGTCATACTCAGCTAAAACAACTCTGGTTCCTCTTTCTTTCATCCTGTGTAAAGTGGTTGGGATTACTCTCTGCTCTATTTATACAAGGGTCAGAAAGTTCACTGCGTTAATGTCTATCTTCTAAGTGCACCCATAAATCAATTGCATGCCATGCAAATTTTCCTGTGAAGGAGCACGTGTTTCCTTGAGAACTCAGGTGACTTGTGTTGTGATTCTAGATGTCCATGCCCTTCAGAACGTGTGTACATCTCCCACTTCACTTCCTAAAACTTTTGAGGCTCTCCAGAGAGGAGGACCCAGCTACTCAAGAGCAGAAGAGCTCAGAGTTGCTACATGAAATAGAGCACTGGGATTGTTTTGGGTAAGCTGGGACAGGGATGTTCTGTTTTTACCTTGAAAGATGTTACCAGTTACTTGTACATGCAAGTCCACAAACGTGCAGACAGTAGTACGTAGTATGATACTAGTCAGCTGAATGTTGTGCTGAACGACTGGTTTAGCCACTGGTCTAACTAGTCTACAGTTCTCTGGAAGTATTGTTGATGCTGGATGGCTAAAAGGGAGGACGTGTGGGTGCTCCGAAATCCCCTTTGCTTTTCAGCTGTCAGGTTTCTGACATGGATCCAGAAGTGTCCATATTAGCCCAGACACAGAAGATGCCTTGCAACAGCTTCATTTGTATGAGAATTTCCGGGCCTTGTTATAGTCTATCCCCCACAGCTGGGGGTCTGTCACTACAACCCAGGTGTTACCCCTTTTATACCTAGAAATAAAATATGCTAATGGTCTCAGGTATAACTGACAGACGAGTAATGCCACAAATGGTTTCTCAGTCCCTCCACACACATACAGACACCCTTTCCTCTTTGTCCCCAGAAGGGGAACTATTTCAAAAAGAGCTTTTTACAGTTCTGGGTGGAAAAGACAGACCTTGTGGGTATAAGTGCAATATCTAGGACTGGAAACATACATTATCTGTTCTCTTCTTTCCAAATCTGTTATATATTCTACTGGGGGAACAGGTATCTTTTTGCTCTGAGACCATTCTTTAATGTAGGTGAAACAAAGTCACAGCAGTTTCTAGCTCAAAGGCTTGTACTTTGGTTGCCAAAAATCAGGGGTAGTGATAACTGCTGAAGTTGACTGTGTAGGGCAGTGGTTGGGTCTGTCTGATAACGCAGGTGCTGCAGAAGAGGTCTGAGTGACTGCATTACTGCTGTACTACAAGATGGGGAAAAAAAAGTCCTACAGCATAAGGATGTGACCGTCGCCTTGGATCAACCACAGATACCCATTAGCCCTTTGGCTGACGTACTGTCAACAGAGAGAAGGTGTCAGTAAATGAAGCTGTTCTAGTGCTTAGTAGCCGCCTTAAGTGGAGCTGACTGCTCTGTTGACCTGGTGGGTTTAGCTAAATCACTTAGCAGTGTTGGATCAGGCATGGGGGAAGGGTGGAAGGGCACCACGACCTCTAGCAGAAATGTGGGTCAGCTTTCCTGCTTTTCTTTTTCCCTCTCCCACTCCAGCATACCTGTTGTTTTGGAACCCCATGGGCTAGCACAACCCCTGTGCTGTTACACAGGGACCATGGCAGGCTGGCTGACTGCAGACATCTGTATGCGGTGCGAGCAGTATCTGTTGAATGTGGCTTCCAGTCAACAGCAGAGCATCTCTCTCAGGAGAATTTCCTGGCCTTGAACCAAACTGGAATGACTCTACCATACATTCTCCTGTCACTTGTTCTGTACCTGAAGTGAATGAATGAAACAGCTTTATGCACCTACTGACATAAAGGCCTGAATAAAAGACCTCCCTGCTGGTTAGTCTAAGCAGGAAGCACAGCTAGTATATTTATGTATTGTGAAGTACTATAAAGCTTTGTGGTTTTAAGAACAGTTTTAATTCTTTTTACATGTCTTTGGGGAAAATAAATGTTGAAGGACTATCACGCCTCTGTCATTTCCTCCTTTGTACCTGCAGTTGTCATTGTTCTGTGGCACTGTTTGCATTTGTGGCTGAGTAGACTTTGCACTACGTAAGAGTACAGGGAAACTTTTAACCTAAAACCTCCTTTCCTGAGAGGCTTGGGAAGTGGAGCTCTCAGTTGTGTGATCACATCACCATGCATTTTGCAAACCTTTACTCTACAAAGCATGTAAAACTCGCTGCTGTGATGCATGTAACGCTGTGGCAGTGGCTGTCAGGCAGCCTGCTCAGTCTGCTTGCTTAGGAAGCCAGCTCTTGATGTGGTTTTTGGCTGTGTGCTATCCGTGCTTTGCCACCAGAGCACTCTGGTGTGTGTCACTGAAGTACCTAGTGTATCTCAATGCCACCATCACCTGAGGGGCAGATGGTTGTTCTCTTTGTATTGGCCTTAAGCTTTGCCCTAAGCTAAACTGGACTATTACAACGTATGACATTCTAGAAAATTAAAGAACATTTTGGTGAATTCCTTATGTGGTTAAAACCAAAAATGGGATAGTTGATAGTATGTCTGTTTCTACCCAGGAGCTGTTTGCATGGAAGGGGTGTAAGTGCTCCAATGGACTTCTCCCTGGGGTGGTTTGCAGAGCATGGATAGAGAATGTTGAAAGATACACTGGACTTGTAGTTGGAATGTGTCATGCTGAAGAAAATAGTGGCTGGGAAGGGCCAGTTCTTCTAGATTAGAGGAGAAGGGAAGAAAGGCATGTTTAAGCTGAACCCAGGGTCTGCATCCAAACTGCCAGAAGGGTCAATACCTCCAGCTGACTTGCAGTGGCCTAACTCTGCTTCCTCTAAACTGCCTTTCTGCAAACTGATGCCTGCTTGCAGGTTTGGGCAAGCTCTGCAAGTAAATGAATGTGGGGAAGATGGAGCTTGTGCTTCCTTTTGGAGCAAGTTCAAGTGTTCCTCTTCCTTCGGTGAATTAGGACTGGCGCAGCCTGCCTGCCCAGGTCCTCTCCTGCGTGTGCTGATTGCTGGTGCTGCTGGGAGGCACATCCGTATCAGGCAGGTGGGCTCCTTGCAGGCTGTGGGGAATGGTAGCCAAGCCACAGCTGCGCTTGCTGGCAAGATGGGTGCAGCGTGGGGCCAGGGGCGTGAGGTGCTCTTGGACACTTACTGAGTGAGGTAGTTTAGATAGAGCTGGAAATGAGCTGAGATCAGCCTGTTTTGATTAATGTGCAAAATGCTTTTCTGAGCCTGGGTGCAGCGGTACGGAGAGAAGGTATCTGGATGGCACTGAGGTGGACTTGAGTTTACCTGGAGAGCAAAGGCGTTTCTAGGTTCTGTCTCTGGCACACCTGCTGTGGTGCCATATGGGCTCTCTTTCCTGGCTTCCCCTTTTCCTACCTTGTGACCATGAGTGGGGGGAGGAAATGTCCTCACTGCAGAACGAACAGGTGAAGGGGTGGGGGAGTGGGTGGATGGATGGTGAGAGACAGTGTGACCTTCCTTGCCTGTCCCTGATGGAGTGAGCTGTCAGGAAGACCCATGTTGCCATCACTCCTCTCTACTATAGTGGTTGCATTGTTCCCCTGAGTGGGCTAGTAAAACCTTTGTCTCTTGTGCAGAAGTGGCATCTAGTCTTTCTATAACTCTGATGTGCGACCGCTGCTCGTGATGATGGCAAGTCATGACAGCTTATGGGGGCAGGCTTACAAAAATTTACCTCTGTTTAAACACAGCCAAAAGAGCCTGGTTATCTCCTTTCCCTGGCCAAGGAGAGCCTTTCGGAGGGAGCAGAGACTAGGCCTTACCTGGGAGCCACAGAGTACAGGGTGGAACAGGAACAGATGCCTGCCTTCTGCAAGCACACATCAGGATCTGATCTGTTTTTTAGTCTTTTGCTGGTTCCTGTCATCACATGGACTAGAGCGTTCCCTGCTCAGAGTCAGCTGGTTCTCATTATTAGTGCTGTGTTCGGGTGAAACTTGCCTTTGGACCTGGGGACCTTTTGGTATCCTCCCACCACCGCAGAAAGTGGTCTGTCTCCAGGCTCTGGTGTTGGGTCCCTTCACACAGCCCATAGTACCTTAAAGCACAGCTCCAGTCTTTACTCCTATCTCAGTAGTGAATCATGACTGAAAAATGGGAAAATAACTAATTATTACTACTGGTAATGGCAGGAGCCTGGACTGGGGCACTGGGAGCGGAGGAGGGACATCTGTCTAGGCAAGCTTGCTTTCATCTAGTTTCCTACTCGGGTCAGCTCTGCGTCCACTGACCTTTGAAGCCAGCGAGGGGCAGGCAGGACTGAGCTGGGGCACCTTTGATTTCAGCTCGGGGCCTCTGAGGAGTGACCCCCTGAGGGAGGCGGCTCATCCCCAGCGGAGCGCTCAGGTACGCCCGGGCTACCGGCTCCC